TCTTAATCATGACAGTATTGCTTCTTTAATAATGCTATTTTAAGAACCTTACGCTCATCCATGAGCTGTGCATGGAATTCCACTCCAATTCTCTGCTGTTATGTGTATCTGGAGCCATCTAAATCCCACCAAAACTGCTGCAGTGGACCAGAGATGCTCCACACTTAGAGCAATGGAGCTGTTAATATCTGGTGGGACCAGTCCTGTACTTCATCTATATATTGCCTTAGCAGACCATCAACCATTTACTAAGACTGCACCCTGAGGGGATTCACTGGCAATAATAGGTCCAGAGGGAAACTGGGAGTGAACACGCTGGAACCTCCTCAGACAATGCTGAGGGCCAGAGACTGGAGAACACCTGTTGCAATGATGTAGCTCACCTGGTATACACTCTTCTCCTCTGCAGGGAAGAATTATTGCCTTTTATTTTTTATTGCATTACTAATTTTAAAAATCATTTTTCATTCTGTCTTTATTGTCTTTCCCCATAATAATTGTACTGTATTCTCTCATACTATTATTTCTAATACCCTTGTTCTATATACTTCACCTTCTCTCCATATTTTTTCTTCCTTTCTTCTTCCACCTCCCCTTCTTTTTATTACCTAATTCTTAATTCCTACACATTTAATCATTTTTAAACCTCTAGTATACTACGTGACAATCCTAGCTCCTTTTTGTATATAACCATATTGGGGAGTTTAGCTTATGTTTTAATTGCTTTTTACTTCATTTAAATTTCTCGGTTGCTATGGAGTTGGAAATTTTGTTGTTTGGAGGTATATGTCCAGTCCAGTGTTGAGAAACAGCACATCAGCTTTGCCACTGTGCAGTCCTGCTGCGCAATCATTGAGAACATTTCAACTGAAAGACTACAAGTGATAAAAAATCTGTAACCAAGGACTTGCCCTCAGATGCACAAATCCCCATGTAGAAACATAAGAAATATGAAAGAAAAGGCAACATGATACCAAAAGTAAGGGTAGTAAGGTGGATAAATCTCAGACAAATAATTCAAGGAATGATTATAAGAATGTTTAATGAGCCAGGTACTAGTGGCTCATGCCTATAATTCTAGCTATCCAGTAGGAGGCAGAGATTAGAAGGATCATGATTTGAGGAGAGCTCAGGCCAAAAGTTCATGATACCCCATCTCAACACCAAAAAGTTGAATGTGGTGACACATGCTTTTCATCCCAGCTATAGGGGAAGCATAAATAGGAGGATTACAGGCCAGGCCGGTGTGGGCAAAAAGCCAAGACCCTAATTTGAAAATAACCAATCCAAAAAAGGAGCAGGGGTGTGGCTCAACTTGTGATTCACCTACCTGGCAAGCATAAGGCCCTGAGTTCAACCCTCAGTACCACCAAAAAAACAAGGAAAATAAACCCCCACTATAGTTACTGAAAGTGTCACCTGCCTAGGTTGCGGTAGAAACACATGAAGGACGTGGCAATTCTATGAGCAGGAAAGAAGTGAGAGTTCATGATGAATGACAGAACAGATGAGATGATGTTCAGGCTGAATCTCCAGAGCTGGGCAAGTGCTCCCAGGTGAATAAAGGCAGCAGAGCTTGTGAGACCCTGAGCAGCAGTGTGGAGAAGCAGAAATCATATAGAATTTGGGCTCAAGCAGATCTGGATTGAAATTCACATAGCAGTTTGTGATTCTATTCAAGTCACTTTGCCTCTCTCAGACTTATCTTTACAAAATAAAAGAAAAAAGCACCTGCCTTATATGATATGGTGAGAAAAATGAGGCCATGCATGTCAAGTGTTAACACAGAGTCTGAGACAGAATCCACACATCCATTGGTGGTGTCAGATGTGTTCAGATCAGTGGTTATTTCTATAACTCTGTTCCACAGTGTGGCGGCACTGCAGGGAGGTCCAGGTAGGCATCTCAGAGCCAGGTGTGGCCCCAGTACCAAGTGGTCTGAGGAAGAAATGAGTTGAGCACTGTCCAAAGAGTGCCACAAACTGTAAGAAGCTATTGATAATTTTGCTTGACCCAATGTAAACCTCTGAACAAAACAGCAGGGACTTAATCATCTGACAGCCGAGGGACACAAATTCCTGAATGAATTCCAGTAGAAAACAAATCAACAGTCGAAGGAAATAGGACAGCACAGGAAATGAAAGAGGAAAGCAATAAAGATATAGAAGTTCTGAAAAAATAAAATTAAAATTCTGAAAAGGAAAAGGTCAATAAATCAGATTTTAAATAAGTTCAGTTGAAAGCCTCATTAATTGACTGGATCAAGTTGAGTGTAGAGTATCAGAGCTTGAAGGCAAGGTACATATATTACAACATTCTAATAATGATAAGGAAAAATAAGAAAGTGTGAACAAAACATGCAAGTCTTCTGGCATACCATTAAAAAAAGATCAAAACTATGAATCATAAGCATTGAAGAAGAGGTGCCTGAAGGCACAGAAAACATATTCAATAAAATAAATAAAATGATAGCAACAAAAATTCCCAAATATTGAGAAAGAAATGGTTATCTAGGTACAGGAGGCTTTTAGGACACCAAAAATACAAGGCCAGAAAAGAATCTCTTCATGACATATTATAGTTAAAACATTAAATATAAAGAAAAAGGAAGGAATGTTGAAAACTGAGAGATGTTTAAAGTCACATATGAAGGAAAAGTCATCAGAATATCATCAGATTTCTCAACAGCAACCCTAAATGTTAAAAGTGCATGGAATCCAAGTCCTAGAGGAAAATAATGGCTAACCTACATTACTGTGTCCAGCAAAACTATCCTTCACAATTGAAGGCAAAATAAAAACCTTCCACAATAAACAACCAAAGGAATTCATGACCACTAAGCCAGCACTAAAGAAGACATTTAAAGGTATCCCACACTCGGAAATACAAGACAAATGCAACCATGAGAATATAGGAAAGAACATATCTTAGTAGATAAGTATATAAGCAAATTAGGTTTAGGAAACAAACACTACAGAAACAACAATGTTATAGGAATCACTACATGCCTTTCAATAATAACCGAATGCTAATAGTCTCAGTTCTCCAGTGGAAAGACAAAGACCGGTAAGTTGGATTGAAAAACAAAACCTAAAACATTTGTTGCCTATAAAAAACACAACTCATTGGCAAGCACAAACACAGGCTTAAAGTGAAAGGCTGGAGAAAGATTTTTCTAAGCAAAGGGATCCCCAAAGGGGGTAGGAATAGCTACTTTTATATCTGACAAAGCAGGTCTCAAACAAAAATTAGTGAGAAGAGATAAAGAAACTAACTTCATATGGCTAAAGGGAACAGTTCATCAAGAGGAGTTAATTGTAAATATGTATACTCAGAACATCAGTGCATCCAATTACGTAAAACAGACACTACTGAACTTACAGATAAACCCACCAACACAATAATACTCACAGTTACCAATAGAAAGGTCATTTGGATGAAAAATCAACAAATAAACATTAGAACTAAACAGCACTATTCCAATGAGAAAACTGAAATATATATATATATATATATATATATATATATATAGAGAGAGAGAGAGAGAGAGAGAGAGAGAGAGAGAAAAGAGAATTTCCACAAATTTCCACCACTGAATCTCCCTATCCACCAGCATTTAGAAGAACAATATCTAAACCTAACTTCTCTACCTGTACCCTGTATTCCATTCCTTCTTACCAATGATTCAGGCGTCCCCAAGGCACCCTTAAGTTTAGTGATTCATTAGAGAAGCCCACAGGAGTCAGCATACAGTCATGTTCATGGCTATTCTTCATTACAGTGAAGTGATAAAAAGCAAAAGCAGCAAAGAAAAAACTCACTGAATAAAGTCTAAGGGAAATCAAGAGCAAGTTTACAAGAATCTTAGGATATACTTACCTTCTCCAATAAGAATGTATGACAACATACGTGAAGTGTTCTGTAATGTATATGCTCATTGGAGTCTCAGTTCCCTAGATTTTAATTGTGGATTGATCACTTTATCACCTTCTACCTAACATATACATATTTTTCTTAATAACCCATGTAACTTTCTCCAAAACGTATCATATTTTAAGACATAAAGCAAGTCAGAAAGCACATAAAGAAGCTGAAATAACTTCCTGTTTTTTACAAGAACAAAATGGAATAAAACTAGAAATCAGCAGGAAGAGAAACTATGTGGAGACTGAAAACTGTATTTTGGAATGCCGTTTGGTTATCAGCTAAATAACGGGGAAATCAACAAAGGGGCACAGCAAAGGCAGTGTAAACAGGAAAGTTTACAGCTATAAGTGCCTACGTTAAGAAATCAGAGAGATCACAAAAAACCCAATGATACAACTCTTTGAAAAATAAGAACTAGCAAAACCCAAAAAACAGTAGGTGGAAAGAAATAACATAGATAAAGGCAGAAATTAATGAAATGGAGATGAAAAGAATAATACAATGAATTAGTGAAACAGAGTCCTTTCTCTTGTAAGATAAATAAAATAGACATCTCCTTAGCCAAGCTAACTAAAATAAAGAGAGTAGGTGCAGTCTCGGGAGGACCTTTTGTGGTGCATGAGCCATTGGGTAGCAATTAATTCTGTCCTCCCTGTTCAGAATTCAGTGTCACTGAAAGAATAGACCTCTTTATCTTTCTCTGCAATGTAGTAGTTCTTAACTCTTTATTGTGTCATAGAATATTTGATTATCTAATAGAGTTACTTCCAAATTCTCATACTCCCTCAATTATTCTCTTTTCCTCTGTATCTCCACTGATACACAGCACATACACATATACATACACTCACATACAGACACAGATACACACACCCATACATGCACGAATGCACTGGACATGTATATATACAATTTTGCATACATTTTCAGGTATTTTACTGTTTCCTTCAGTTCCAAGTTGAGTTATTTCTGCATGGAGAACCTCATTTTTTTTGTTATGGAAATATGAATATTCCAGTTGGTTCATTTGCACTACTATTAATAGCATTGTGTTTCCCTGGTACTATTAACAGAGCCTGAGCAGCAGAGAAACCAGCTTTCTCATCAATGAAGAACCATCGGTAAGCAGTGATCAGTACTATCCTTTATTGCATGGACATTCATGGGGCATCTTTTTGTAGCCTGCCATAGTGACACTATCTTTCCCAAGTCAGTTATTTTTCAGGCTCTCATACATGGCATTTTGAAAAAATAATTAGTGTTTTTGTTTGCTTGTTTCTTTTTGATTTTTTGCAGTCTTGCTATGTAGCTCAGGTTGACCTTGAACTCTGAATCTTCATTCTTCCACCTCCTGAGTGCTGTGATTACAGACCCATGCTACTGTACCTGTTTTTTTTTTTAATTATTTAAGGAAAAAATAACATCAGACGTATCAATAAAAATGGTGCGTTGAGCATGGAATTTTTTTTTCATTTAATAATTTCTATTTTTTCTGAAAAAAAAAAAAGAAGGGACTAAAGAGTAAATGACATGAGATCCTAAACTAGAAGTCAAGTTTCTCAGGCCTTCAGTATTCTCTCTCCATTACATCACTCTTCTCACCTATAAATACACACTTAATCATCAGGCAATTTATTTAAAAATTAAATTTGAATATCAATTAAGAGGTTAATAAAAAGGCACAAATTTTACTTGTTTTCTTCACTATTTGTGAAGACAGGGAAATAGTATCGACAGTTTTAGCAGAGGTGAAGGGTGATTTTCACTAGGGTGGTAATCTTGGGTATTGTGAATGAGGATGGTGGAACTGATGGAATTAAAATGATTGAAATTTTGTTGGTTTGTTTTCTGTTTATTTATTTGGGGGTTTTGATTGTGTAAATCATATATATGATTCCAAAGTGCAAAATTGTAGCTCGAATAAGGCTTAATGAAACCTAAAGCTTATACAAATCCCTCTCCATTCTGCATTTCTAACCAATGTGTGAGAGTGCCATGTCCCTACAGCCTTGTCAGCAGAAGGGTGTCATGCTTTTAAATCTGTCTTTCTGTTACCTCAGCATTTTAGTTTGCTTTAGATTCACATTAGATTTGGAATCTTGTTAGCTCAATTTTCTTTTCTGTGATAAACAGTGATTTTGCCTGTTTTTTCATGAGCATATTGGGCATTCATTTATCTTTTGTGAACTGCTTATTTAAATATTTTGTTCATTTTTAAAAATTGGGCTAATCATCTTCTTATTGACTTATAGGAGTAGTTTATATATTCTTGATACAAGGCCTTTCATCAGAAGTATCTGTTATGAAAGTTTCCTCTGATTCTGTTACCTCCTTCTCATTTTCATAAAACTGTTTTTAGAAAACAAATTGAAAAAGATTTGAGATTCAATTTCTCATTTTTTTCTCTGATGACTCATCTATCTACACACATAAAGCTCAATACTTCACAGAACGGAGATTTTTGCTGCAGCAGTCACCAGACGATTAGGCTTATTTGAACTTTCGTTCCAGAAAGGGAACAGTTGAAGCAAAACCACCTGTCAAGCACTGAGGTCCTTCAATTACAATTTTGCTACATTTTTTACCCTCTCATTACACTATATAAACAATACCTACCATTAAATGCTATAGATTTGGTTTTCTTTCAAATTGCATTGGCCATTCTAGATATTTTTAGGTAAATTTCTTTAGTGTTTTAAATAATGACCATGATAACAGAAGTGATTTTTCCCTTTTAGCAGTGTTTGGGAAGTTGTGAAATATTTACAAAATAAATCTTGTGTAAACTTTCCAAATTATACATCATTCCAGTATAATTGTAGAAATTTTGCTTTGTCCGACATATAGAGGCATATTTAACAGAGTATCTATTTTGCTTAAAATTTTAATTATTCCCATATTTTGTTCATTATTTCTCTCTTCTTCTGTGTTTCAGTTCCACAAATATTTATTATTTCAAGTCACTTTATAAAAGATATAGGGAAATTTACTTTTAAGGTTCTTTTTTTCTCCCTGTACTTCATTTTTTATTGTTTTTTTTTTTTTTTTTTTTTTTGTACTGCTTGCTAGCCTCTTCTGCCCTCCAGGTTTAGATATCACACACACATACACATTCAGATGCTTATACTGAAGGTTAGTTTGTTTGCATGTCTGGATTTTCAAATCTTTACCCCTGAGCAGGATTCGTTAACTCTCTATTGGTTGCTTCACAGCCTGCAAAGCGATTCAATTTGTTCCTGCGGCGACGTCTTATGGTAAAACAGTGCTGAGTGATGCTGCTTGTGCTCTGGGTGGCTGCAATAATAGTCTGAATCACTTTTGTTCTACTGAATACAGTTAGTAATATTGGGGGACTTTGTCACTGACACCTAGTTCTGAGGCAATTGACATTTACGAATAGTTACTTGCAGTCTCCTCTGGCTCTGATATGGTCTATGAACCCTTTTCCTAAAAATGTACATACACGCACACATTTGCACACATGCAATTTAAATAGCATCAGAAATTTATGAACCTCTGTCAGGAGTATAGATTTATGAAACTCAAAATGTCTCGATCATTCAAAGAGAAGTCACTCAGATATTTGCTGAATCAAAACAAATAAGCATATCTTAGAACAAATCTAATATAAATACAAGCACACACATATAAAAATATGATTTTATTTCATATTTTGAGCAAAGCAAAAGCATGATGTGGTTTTAATAGCATTCAGTTTTATGTAACAAAATCATCAGGGTGAGGTTCCAGTTAGCTCTGATCAGTTTTTGTTAACGATCCTAAGACATGGCTTCATGGTCATTTACAAAGTCACCAATGCTTTTCCTATGTGTTTTAAAAATGTTTTCAGTTTTTAGTAAGGGTTCTACAAAGGGATAGAAATTTGGGAAGCCTTGTCTTTCAGGAGAAGGAAAGTGCATCTACCCATTTTAGCTGTTGACTTAGGAAAATGATTGGTGTCCCTATTCTTTTAGCTACTTTGTCAGTTCCCTAATTGTCAAATACCAAGTGTAATATTCATTTCTTTGTGCACATCCATCACCAGAACTGTTCCTTATGAACCTAAATTTAGCTTGTCTAAACAATATGAACACTTGTAATAATATTAATCATAAAAATCTCTACCAAAAATATGGCTATCAGAATGAGAGCAAGAAAACTATTATTTTTTCCCTTTCACTTGTTCTTTGGTTATACTTAGTCCGATTAGTTTTTTTTTTTTTTCCCATTTGGTTTCTAAATATTTTGTTAAACTTCATTAGCTATACTAATGCTTTGATAATTTATGAAGGCCAATGATTTTTCTCTTTTACTTTTTTGATTGATTTTTAATCAAGGTATAACATGATAGTAGTTTGAGTTTTCTAAGGTTCTTTTACTCCCTTTGAAGAAAGGGGAGATGGTTGTGCATCCTTTGGCTAGCATTCAGAAAACTCAGACATAACATTCAAGTTCCTATATTTTGATAGTTAATCTCTGGGCTTGGTTCTCTTCATTTTTCTACTCATTTACTCACGTGCATCCATTCATATGTAGAGTTACTGTGTTCATAGAGCACAGATCAAACATGAGATTTTTGTCTTTATTTCATGACTGATTTAATCCATTCCCTTTTATGAGACACTAGTCTGGTCTGATTTGAGTGAAAACCAGCATAGATTGCTATAAAAGAAATGGAGAAGCTAATACAAATACCCACTGTGAAAAATCAAATATCTAGTTCCCTATTTCCAAGTAGCTAAAACAATTGGAAAATTCTCACTGAAATCCACTGCATCATCTATTTGCATAACTCTAAGAATTGTACATAGGCTATTATAAAAGTCCTAAGTATTACATCTTACATGTAAATCAAAAGGGAAATCGCTTCTTTCGGATACTCTAGTAGTTTTGCTGTTTTGAAACTGAACTGAACATGTGACAGTTGAGCTTGCAGGTTTGGTGGTTATATTGAGAGAAATCATACAAATTTGAACAAAAAGTTGATTGTAGCTCACCTGAAACGCTGACATTGAGGGAACACTGCATGAGAACTTAACTTGCTACCTATCGTAATTATTAACTGCACCTTGACTGTATTTTAAAGTTGAATTAGAAAATGGCAATCTTATGATCTGTAAGCATTAACCATAAGTTTATTTTCTCACAATGAGACTCCATTAATTGGTCTGTAATTAACTCTACCCTGGAAGAAGTGTGCAATTATTTTGTGTACTAATTTGTTTGTCATTAAATGAGGATAAATTTCCTCTGAATATGAACTTTGGCACAACATATAAATTTATTAATTTCATATTTTGTTATAATAGCAGCATTGTTGTATGACTATGTAGTTAATCTGATTAACTTCCTCCTGAGTCTTTTACTGTCTAATCCCCTCCATAGAATTTTGCTTTACAAAATATGCGTAATTTTCTGTTGTTATTTGTCCTTATTTGCCATTTCAAAACTGAAAAATATTAGGTGGTACCAAATTTTAGTTAATCTCCTTTATAATTTTGCCATTTGAGAATAAACAGTAATTTAAGATTTTTGTCACTTATGTCTCCTACAGTTTCAAAAAAATGAACAAAGCAAAGATTCTATCTTCTTCCGAGATGGGGTTAGGCAAATTGATTTTGTCCTTTCCTATGTTGATGACATAAAGAAGGAAACAGACATAAAAGCGGTGAGTGCTTACCTGAGAGAAATGGGAGTATTGAAAAGATACACATTCTATAGTTTGATAGAGATGTCTGCATTGGGTCATGTTTGGAATATCAGGGTTCACTGAGGCTTTATTGAGACCTGAAACTGAGTGAGAAGACTACAAAATAGGTAGCTAAGACTGAATGTGTAAAATCATTTTATTTTTTGGATATTTTGGAGACTTATTTTTCTTCTACTTCCAAGTGACATACTTCTGACATAGTTAACCTTAGGTATTAAATGTGACCCTCAAAATATGAGATGTGATTCTGAATATTTACATTTTTTGCAGTTTTTATTTTGAAAATGTGTGGCTAATCTGTCTGATCTGAAATAGCTACAATGTGCAGTATTCCTGATCCTATCTTATTTTTATTATAACATCACTTTCTGAGTTTACATTATTTATTCTTTTTTTAACTTTTTTATTGTCTTTATTAACATAAATTAAGTTCATGAGGCCAAATACTTTGTTTGTATTTGCTCGTTGCAATATACCCAGATACCCAGACATGATTGAAGTACAATGGATGCTCAATAAATAGTTGATATTTAGAAGAGTGAATTAATGAATTATATTAAAGAGTGAATTAATGTGTAAGCATACATATGTATGTGTATATTCACAAACATTTATTTATATGTTTAATGTCATACAAATAAAAATTGGAGAGCTTTAATTATTATCCCAGAACTGTCTCTATCTTCTACCCCTTGCCTGTAGACCATTCCACCAGGCCTCTGAAATTGGTAGCCATCATGATTTTTTATGTTTGCTTCACACCTGACTCTTTATTGGGTCTTTTGCCTTCTTCTCAAGTGACAGCTTTTTTCCTTCACAGTAGGGTGACTGCTGCTTGCCTGATTTGTATCTTGTTAATTACGTTCTGTTTTCCCTCTTTGTCCCTCACAGTCCTGAGATTTAAATTTCATCAAATTGATTAGAATTTTCATTATTGTCATTTATCTGATCCTGGCTGTTCCCTTTTATTTTTATACATTTTTAAATCTTGCTCACTGTCAAGTCTCTCTAACAATACTCCTTTTAAGATCACTGAATATCTTCACGCACGCACAAATGATTATTCTGACTCTCCAGCCTTTCTGTTCCTTGAATATCCTTTTCCAACAATTGTGGCCTCTACTCTAACCCAACCATTCAGTTTCCTAATACTTGTCATATTTAATAACTGCAGCTCTTTATAATCTTACTCCATGTGTCTAACTGCTTAACCAACCCTTCAAATCTTTCTGACCCACGCTCTTCTTTCAGTTACACTAGGACCAGATGAAGCACAGTTATTTTGCTCCCTTTTTACTGCTCTTATTTTTTGTCTGTAAACTTCTTTTGTATTAGTATATATTGATTGTACAAAGTAACTGGTTTCATTGTGGAGTTTTACATGCATGCATATGTATGAATACATGTGTATGAAAATCAATGTACTATGATCATATTTACCCTGTCACTGTAAAAAAAAAAACAAGTTCTGTGCAGTTCAGTTGCCAATTTCTTTATTGGATAACCAATGCACAATTAAAAAATTTAAATCTTAAAAAAAAAAAAATTTCTTTATTGGGTCATTAATTTGGGGGCAGTTTAGTTTTTTGAGCTCTCTGTATATTCTGGTTATCAGTCCTTTGATATATAGCCAGCAAATATTTTTTCACATTCTATGGGTGGCCTTTTCAATTTAGAGACCATTTTTTTGTTGTCATGCAGAACCTTTTTAATCTCATGTAGTCCCATTTGTCCATTCTTTCTCTTAGTTGCTGAGCTGCTGGAATTCTTCTTGCTTTATTGCTCTGGGTAGGAATTCCAAGACTATGTTGAAGAGGAGTGGGAGAGTGGGCATCCTTGTTTCATTCCTGACCTTAGGGGAAATGGTTTCAGTTTTTCCTCATAAAGTATGTTAGCGATAGGTTTGTCATATACAGCCTTTATAATGTTGAAGTACATTCCTTCTATTCCTAGTTTTCTTAAAGCTTTTATCATGAAGTTGTGTTGATCTTATCAAAGGCTTTTTCTGCATCTATTGAGATGATCAAGTGGTTTTTGTCTTTGTTTCTATTAATGTGCTGTATGACTTTTATAGATTTGCGTATGTTGAGCCATCCCTGCATCCCTAGGATGAAGCCTACTTGGTCGTGGTGAATGATCTTTCTGATATGTTGTTGGATTTGGTTTTCCATTATTTTATTGAGGATTTTTGCATCGATGTTTGTTGAGGAGATTGGCCTGTAGTTCTCCTTTTTGTATGTGTCTTTGTCAGGTTTTGGGATGAGTGTAATGCTGGCTTCATAGAATGAATTAGGCAGTGTTCCTTTATTTTCTATTTCATGGAAAAGTTTAAGGAGCGTTCGTATTAGTTCTTCTTTAAAGGTCTGGTAGTATTCAGCAGAGAATCCTTCAGGTCTAGACTTTTCTTTTTTGGGAAACTATTGTTGCTGTGCTTAATATATAGTCTTGATTCAGTTTTGGATGTCATGAGTATCTAGAAATTTGTCCATTTCTTCAAGATTTTCAAATTTATTGGAATATAGGTTCTCTAAGTAGTCTCTGATGATTCCCTTGGTATTTTTGTTATCTCCCCTTTTTCATTTCTGATTTTATAAATTTGGGTCTTTTCCCTCCTTGTTTTAGTCAGATTTGCCAGGGGTTTGTCACTCTTGTTTATTATTTCAAAGAACCAGCTTTTTGGTTTGTTGATTCTCTGTATTTTTTTTTCCTTTGGTGTCTGTTTCATTATTTTGGCCCTTTTAAAAATTATTTCTCTCCTTCTGCTTGATTTGAGTTTTGCTTGTTCTTGTTTTTCTAGGAGTTTGAGATGTAGCATGAGGTCATTGATTTCAGATCTTTCTGTCCTTTTGATATATTCACTCATGTCTATAAACTTTCCTTTTAGAACTGCTGTGTCCCATAGCTTCTGGTAAGTGTTGTTTTTATTTTCATTACTTCCAGGAATCTTTTAATTTCCCCTCTTATTTCTTCTATGACCTACTGATGGTTGAGCAATGTGTTATTCAGCTTCAGATTATTTGTGTATTTTCTGCTACTTTTTTTATTGTTGAGTTCTAGTTTTAATGCATTGTGATCAGATAGATCACAAGGGATTATCTATCTTCTTATATTTGCTGGGACTTGATTTGTGTCCTTAGATATGGTCAATTTCGAGAAAATTCCATGGGTTGCTGAGAAGAATGTATATTATGTGGATGTTAGGTGAAAAATTCTGTAGATGTCAGTTAGGTCCTTTTGATCTATGGTGTAATTTAGTTCTAGAATTTCCTTATTGATTTTTTGTTTGGATGACCTATCTTTTGGTGATAGAGGGGTATTAAAGTCCCCCACTACCACTGTATTGGAGTCTATATATGCTTTTAAGTCCATTAGAGTATGTTTGATAAAATTAGGTGCAATGACATTGTGTGAATATAGGTTGATATTTGTTATTTTCTTTTGGTGTATTTCCCCTTTTATTAGTATGAAGTGTCTTTCTTTATCTTGTTTGATCAATGTAAGTTTGAAATCTACTTTGTCTGACAAGTTGTGCTTACTCCTGCCTGTTTTGGGGGGCCACTGGCTTGGTAAATCTTCTAACCTTTCATCCTAAGTCAGTGTTTGTTTCTGTCAATGAGCTGGGTCTCCTGTAAACAATAGATTGTTGGATCCTTCTTTTTAATCCAGTTTTCCAGATGGTGTCTTTTGATGGGGTAGTGGAGTCCATTGACATTCAGTGTTAGTATTGATAGGGGTGTGGTGATTCCTGCCATTTAGTTGTTTGTGTTGTTTCAGTATTTGATTGTGTGCAGCTAAGTCAGTGCTACTTTCTGATTTCTTGTCTTTTCTTCTCCCGTGGTTTGATATTTCCCATCCTTTTGTGGTTTTGCTTGCATTCATTTTTTGTGTGCAGAATTACTTGTAGAATCTTCTGTAGTAGTAATTTGTTGTCATATATTGTTTTAGTTATTGTAGAAGATTTTTATTGCTCCATCAGTTTTAAATGATAATTTTGTTGGGTAGAGTATCCTAGGTCTGAAATTATTTTCACTCAGTGCCTGAAATACCTGACTCCATTCCTTCTTGCTTTTAATGTTTCCATTGAGAAATCTGCTAAGATTTTGATGGGTTTACCTTTATACATTATTTGTTTTTTCTCTCTTACAGCCTTCCGTATTCTTTCTCTGTTCTCTGTCCTTGTTGTTTCAATGATAATATGCTGTGGGAAGGTTCTGTTTTGGTCAAGTCTGTTTGGTGTCCTGTAGGCTTCTTGTATCTGAATTGGCAAAACTTTCTCAAGATTTTGGGAATTTTCTGTTAATATTTTATTCAATATATTACAAATCATTTTTGCTTGCACCTCTTTTCCTTCAGTGTCCATGATTCTCAGGTTTGGTCTTTTGATGGAGTTGCTGAGTTCTTGCATATTCCTTTCATAGCTCATGAGTTGTTTGATTAAGATTTCTTCTGTTTTTTTTCTTTAGTTTCTGTTTTATCTTTGAGTTCTGAGATTCTGTCTTCCACTTGTTGTAGTCTGCTGGAGTGGCTTTCCACTGTGATTTTGGTTTCTGTTTGATTCTTTTTTCTAAGGTTTTCCATATCTTTGGTCAACTCATCTTTTATATTTTTTGTTTTCATCTTTAATTTATTTATCTCTTTTTGTAGTGTCCTTTGTTTCACTTTGGTGTTTGAATAAGTCGTCTCTGAGTTCATTTATTTGTTTCTGTGTCTTCTCAAGTTCCTTATTTTTGGTGTCTTGAAATTTCTTTAGTGCATCTTGTATATTTTGGTTAATCATGCCTAGTATCTTCTCCATGAATTTCTCAGTGATTCCTTGCAAGATTTCTTCTTTGAGGATGTTTTCAGGGGACAGTTCTTAATTCTTATTTTTTCTTAATTTTCATTGACTTATTTGATGACATCATTCTGTCTTACAGTTTTAAAATCACATTTATGCTAAACTCAAAATCTACCTTTCCAGTCCAAACTTGTCTCCCAAACATTAGCAATTCTACATCTCTCTTTGTGGAAGTCTTTCAGGTTTCCACTCTTGAGCTTCCTCCAAAAAGAGAAGGAATATTCATCATATACTTTAATAGTTGCAAAGGGCTTAATTTAAAATACCTTGTACATGGTTCAGTTAAATTACATTTTTAGCATATATTCACAGAAGGTAAAGTGGAAATTACCCACCATCATTTACTTCTAAAAAATGAATCTGAAGAAGCACTCTAATGGTTGGAATTTTTATCACTTATCTTTGTCCTTCACCTAAATTTTCTATTCTACTTTCTCAATTTTTCCTAATGTAAATGTTTTATCTTTGAGAGTCTTTTCTTGTTCATTCAATCATTACTCTGTTAAAGAAATGTAAGTATACTTATCGAAATGCTATTATTTTTAGCCATAACACTCTAAACCTTAAATTTTTGTTTTTGTATTGGATTATTTTTGTAATTATGAGTGCACAATTGATAAACCATAACTATAAAATTTGATAAGTAATTATTAACCATAAAAAGTAAATACACCATAAATTATATTGATCAATGAGGTAAAGAGTCTTTAAAATTATTGTTTTGGTTCATATTTGAATAAGAATTATTCCTAGAATGAGATGTTGGAGTTTAAGTTATATTCTTCCTTTGTTTTTATGTATTTTATTGTAAATGAAGGTTGCTCAAATACATAGATTGTAAGAAAAGTAGTATTATAGCTATACCAATGTTTGAACTCCTGAGTTTCACCTAATTTATGAAGAAATTTAATGTTTAATATAATGTTTCATGATCTGTCAGATGGCAACTCTATTAGCTCTGCTATCAATTTTGTTGAACTCAGAGACTAAGTGACCATCCAACTTACAAAAGCATGTGTTCTTAGAACTAGTAGAAGAGTTATTAAATTTCTCAAAATTATTTATTTTTTTAATTTTTATTTTTTTATTATTCATATATGCATACAATGCTTGGGTCATTTCTCCTCCCAAATTTCTCAAAATTAAAAATCATATTTTGAATACCTTTCCCTTATCGACCAGTTTTTTTTTTTGTAGTCTCCTTTCTTTTGCAGAAAGGCTATTATGAAAAAAGATTGGCCAAGAAAGAACTTGCATTACTAATGTGGGCCTGTTCTCACTCACATTTTAAGTGGGGTAAAAGAACACATTAAAATTGTCTTTTATTCCTTGTAAAGTTTTTAGAAACCTCAAGATAGACATACTTATTTGAAGATGAATGTTTTAGAATATTATGGTGAAGCAGTAAATTTTAATCACTCTGAAATTTCTCCCCCTGAAATCAGAATTAAGACATAAAGAATTGTTGACCATCAATGCATTGTTTTAACATCCACAGTAATAATTATTTGCAGTAATGGCCTGTAGTAAAACTGAATATTCTTATTTCTAAGTGAAGCCATTCTATCAATCAAGATTAAAAAATCATGATGATTTGGGTTAAAATTGCACTGAATTTATAATTTATTTGAAGAGAGTATTGATCTTTGTAATATTGAGTTTTTCCAACTCTGTGTTTATGAGGGTTTTAAATTTTATGTTGTTTTGAACTTCTTTTCAAATAGAGAACTTACATATTTCTTAGAGATTATTCCTAAATATATTGTATTTTCATAGTTATTGTCAATTATGGTACTGGTATAAAGTAGCACATGGCCTTAGATAGGAGCATTATGTAGATTTCTTTATATCCAGCCATAGAAGGGGCAGAGAGCCATTTGGAGACATGCTCATTATTGATTCTGCCAATCGCTGAGCAAGTAAAATAAAGTATTATGATTCTGCATCATCCTATTTATTTGTTTTGCTATAGGAAAGAAGAAAAGAGTTTGAAAAAAATCTCAAAAAAACAGGTCTTGAGTTGGAAATTGAAGACAAAAGGGTAAAGATGGTTGATAATTTCTACACAAATCTTTTTAGGTGGTGTTTTCTCATATGCTAGCCTTTAGCTGCATAGATTTTGTGTTTTGGGCAGTATATAACCCTTTTGGGAAATGTGCACTAGGGATAGTTGATCTGTAATCTTACAGGTCAGTAGATTAGTGCACTGAATATGAGATGCTTAGTGGAACACTTTAAAATGCATAGTTTCTTAGGATACACAAAAAAGTGAAGATTCGTTCTTTGTTTCATAACTGTCTTATGTCTGTTTTGAAGGTTGCCTACAATCTTGAACACTGAAGAGTTTCCTTAATATCTTGCAGTATAACCTACTGTCTTAGCCAAGACACTCTGATCATAAATATGCTAAGTTCTTTTATTTTAACTTCCTTTTATTTACTGTTTTTCTATAATTACCTTCAAATTTGTGTTTTAAAGATCTAATTAAGATCTCACCCTGTCTATGATGCTTCCAATATTGATTAACTTTAATGACTTTTAGTTCTTACTTCTCATCTATTTTTACTGAACTAATATATATGTGTATTATGCCACACACTCTATAACTTAGTAATTTATCTATGAAATGACATACAGTTCTTCCTCTTTATGTAGGCCCTATAAAGAAGCTGGGTAGGAAGAGAATGCCTTAAATTTGTATGTATCCCTTATACAACCTAAGTAAAATTCTGAGCTCATAACTAGTCTCTAATCTCTCTACTTGAGAGATTATCTAGGACCACATATGGATTTAGTGCTGACTATATATTAACCCTGAATTTTAAAAGATCTCTATGTTTCTACGTGTGTCTGTATCTGATTGTCTCTCCCTGTCACACACACACACATATATTCATACATATAACATGTATATGTGTAATGTATATGTAAATATAAATACCTATTTGTGGAATTTAGTTTTCTAAAAACTTTTGCTAGAAAATTCAATAAATTGAAATTCAGACTATAAAATTCTTTTACCTTTGTTTTAGCAGTTCAATAACAGATCAGTAAGCTTTATTTTGCCTCTTTTTATGTAGGACTCTGAAGATGGAAAGACTTATTTTGTCAAGATCCATGCCCCGTGGGAGGTACTAGCTACTTATGCTGAAGTGTTGGGAATCAAAATGCCCATTAAGGAGAGTGATATTCCCCAATCTAAGTACACTCCCTTCAGTTACATGTTTGGGCCTGTGAAACTTTCACCAACTGTGAAGTATTCTCATCCTGAATATTTCACTGCCCAATTCAGCAGACATCGGCAGGAGCTCTTCCTCATTGAAGATGAAGCAACTTTCTTCCCATCTGCAGCAAGAAACAGAATTGTAGGTAGAGAAGACCTTGTGCATGCCTCTCCAAGTATGGCATGTGTGTCTATACGTGCTTTATATATGTCCATGTGCAATGCTGTGTCTGCAAAGTATCCTGTGCAGGATGTAAGCATTTAGTGGTGTGGGTTAGTCTTGAGAGTCTGTTTGATTCATTTAAAGCTATTAACTTTCCTATCTCTCAAACTATTGTTTTAAAATGAATGGTAGTGTGGATACAGTAATGAAAGAGGTATCACACAATTCTGGAAAAGCACTTAACCTAAGACTCAGAAGATTTTGATTTTTTGTGACCTTTGTAAAATGCTTTTATAAAGTTTATTTTCATAAATTCAGTGCATAGAAAGAAGAACATTGGTCATTGCAAGTAAAACTTGAATATTTTAATTTCTTTATATATGGATATAGTTTGAAAAGACTCAGAATATTTTGACCCTGTTTAAAGCCATTTTCATTGTTTTTATTAATAATAATATTTCCTCTGCATTTGCAGTCCTAGGATCTTTAATTTTCCATTAAAAACCTGTCTGAGATTTCTTGATTCTTAGATCAGAATAACGTCTATTTCATAGATAACCCTGGTTTTGAATAGTACCTAGCACATATGAACCGTTCAACAATGATTAGATATTATTATTATCATTATTGCTAAGTCTTTACAAGAAAAATCCAGGAAATATATCACTTTTATTCTTTGTATCCATCACTTATTTAACCACCTGGTTGTATCAGTTATAAAGCTCCTCACTTTGAGATTATATACTCTTTTTTCCTCAGGAGAGGAAATGATTGACTCCATTTCTTCCGAGTTTCTAAGTAAACATTAAAAAAATTCATGAACATGAATATTAAATGATATAGTGCTACATTCCTATAATTCCACCTACTTGGGAGGTAGAAATAGGAGGATCATGGTCTGAGGTCAGCCTGGACAAAATTGTGAGACCTTACCCGAAAAATTATAATAAAAGAGCAAAAGGAATGATGGTGTGGCTGAAGTGGTGGAATACTTGCCTAGCAAGCACAAAGCCCTGAATTCAATCCTGGGTACCACCAATAAATACATAAAATTTAACTTCTACAATTTTGGTATAAACTATGAATCCACAAACTGAAAAGTCTCTCCCCTGTCTTACTAGGATTTTATAACAACAACAAATCTAAGAGGTGACTTTTACCTGATTTCAAGTCATAACTCTGCTACTTTTGAAAGAGAGAATGATAATACTGGTGTTATAGTGAGAATCAAGTAAAATACTTTCTGAATTAAAAGTTTGCTAAGAAAAGAACCAAAAGACCAAAGAACCCATAGGAGCTCATCAGGCACAGAACTGTAACTCTTCCTTTACTGCTAGTTGTTCCATTTAAACAGCTCAACTTTAAAGCATAATTTCCCCTTCTTCCTAGTGGAGAAATACTATTCTTACTCTGTTGAGAAAGTTATCTGAAAGATCGATGCAGGAAAAGTTCCTTCCTTCTTGTCTTCAACAAAACATTGTAGCCTATGTATGTACAAATTGAGTGGCATATTGTGCTAGAATAGAATTTCATACATTTCCATGTATCTTTCCAACCACCATGACATGAGTCTCACAGTAGGCATTTATACATACATACTTGTGAAATATATGTGTATACATATCAGATACATAATTTGTATATGCCAGATGTATGTATGCAGTTTTGTAGTGAAAAAGGCCAGAGTTTTGAGTATTAACAAATTTCTACATTTATCCAACTGTGTAGGTGAAAACACTCACACTATCACTATGAGATTTAAATTGCACATATGGCTTAGGACTTTCTTTTTTTTAAACATTTTTATTAGTAAAAGATAGTTGTACAGAGGGTTTTGTTGTGACATTTCCATTTGTGCACATATGCATCCCAGTTGGGTTCATTCCCTCTATTAATTTTCCTCTTTTTCCACTGCCCTTCTCAAAATGACTTCAATAGGTTTCTCAACCATATTCACCCTCCTTTATCCTCTTCATTTACCATCCCCTTTCCATTATTATCCTTCCCTTAATATGACATGCTTTACATTACTGTAGCTTAGGACTTTCTACATACATAAGTAACCATCACCTTAATTACTAGCTCTTCCTTAAGAACAAAGAACAAGTTTTCATTCATCTACAATGGAACAGTTTCCATTGCATTAATATAGGCATATTTCTTGGTATTGTACCCCACTTTATTGTGCTCCCCAAATACTGCATTTTCTACAAATTGAAGGCTTGGGGCAACCCTGCATTGAGATTGTCTTTTGGTGCCATTTTCCCAATTTCATGTATTTGTGTCTGTTTCATTTTAGTAATTCTCACAATATTTCAAAGTTTTTCACTATTTTATCTATTATGGGAATCTATGATGAGTAATCTTTGATGTGATTATTTTAATTGTTTTGGGACACCATAAGCTACACCTGTGTAAGTTGTCTAAATTAATTGATAAATGCTGTGTTTCTGGATGCCCACTGACCAGCAGTTTTCCAGTTCTGTGCTTCTCCTTGGGACCTCCAATTCCCTAAGATAAGACTATTGAAATTAGGCCAATTAATGACCCTACACTGGCCTCTCTATTCAGGTGAAAGGAAAAGTTATACTTGCCTCATTTTAAATAAAAAACCAGCAATGATTAAGCTTAGTGAGGAAGACTTGTCAAATGCTGAGATGCCAAAAATTAGACCTCTTAGGTCAGTAGGCTAAATTGTGGATGCAAAGGAAAAATTCTTGAAGGAAATTTAAGTGTTACTCCAGTGAACAGATAAATTAGCCTTATTGCTGAGCATTTTAATGGTCTGGTTAGAAGACAAAACTAGGCTCACCATTCTTTAAAGCCAAAGCAGAATCCAGAGCAAGATGCTTGTCTTTGATTCTGTGAAAGCTGAGTGAGGGGACAAAGTGTCAGAAGAAAAGTTTGGAGCTAGCATAGGTTGTTCACAAGGTTGAAGAAAAGAAGCTATCTTTATAACATAAAAGTTCAAAGTAAAGCAGCAAATCCTGTTGCATGAAATGCAGAAAATTATCCAAAGATCTAGCTATGATAATTGTTGAAGGTGGCTACACTAAATAATGGATTTTCAATGTAGATGAAACAGCTTTCTAATTTAAGAAGACATTATCTAGGATTATGGTGTCCAGAACAGAGAAGGCAATCCCTGGGTTCAAAACTTTCTTGTTATGGTGCTAATGTAGTTGGTGAGTTTAAGATGAAGTCAGTGTTCACCATTCTGAAAATCCTACGGCATTTAAGAATTATACTGAATCTATGGTGCCCATGTTCTACAAATAGAATGACAAACCTGGATGATACCACATCTGTTTACATTGTTTACTTTTTACTGAATATTTTTAGCCCACTGTTGAAACCTGATGCAAAAAAGGTTTCTTCAAAATACTACTTCTACCTGACAATATACGTGGTCATCCCAGAGCTTTATATGAAATTGATATTGTTTTCATGCCTGCTAGCACAATATCTATTCTTCACCTCATAGATCAAGGAATAATTCGGATTTTCAGGTCATGTAACTTAAGAAATCCACATTGTAAGACTACAGCTGGCTGCAACATTGAATCTTCCAGGGGGTCTGGGAGGAATAAATTGAGTCTTCTGGAAGGAAGCATCATTCTAGATACCATTAAGAACAATCATGATTCACTGAAGGAGGTCAAAACATCCAAATTAATAGGAGTTTGAAAGTTGATTCCATTCCCTTATTGATCACTTTGAGGATTTCATGATTTCAGTGGAGGAAGTAACTGCAGATGTGGTAGAAACAGCAAGACAGCCAGAATTAGAAGTAGAAGATGCTGTAATCTTATGATTAAATTTGAATGGACAAGAAGTTGCATGTTATCAATGAAGAAAGTAACTGATTTGTTGAGAAGGAAACCACTCCTGGTGGGAGATGCTTTGAAAAACCTTGAAATAACAACAAATGACTTAGAATATTACATACATTTAGCTGACGAAGTAGTGGTAGGGTTTTAGAGCATTCATTCTGATTTTGAATGACATTCTGTTGTGGATTAAATGCTATCAAAGAAGATTGAAACTCCAGAGAATTTTTTCTCTGGAGTCAACTGATGTTTATTTCACCGTTATCTTATTTGAAGAAGGTGTGACAGCACAAACTTCACAACCACCACTGTGATCAGTCAGCTGCCATCAACAAGGAAGCAATGTCCTTCATCGGCAAAAAGGTTATAACCCACTGACAACTCATGATCGTTAGCACTTGTTAGAGATAAAGAATTTTTTTCTTTTTTCTTTCTTTCTTTATTTGTTCATTTATTCATGTGTGCATACATTGTTTGGGTATTTTTAATTAAAGTACGTGTATTGGACATGCTGCTATTGCATACTAAATAGACTAAAAACTAGTGTGAAGATACTTTTATAGCATTGGGAAACTGAAATAATGTCCAACTCACTTTATTGTGCCGGTCTGGTGTTTATTGAACAATATTTCTGAGTTGTGTCTGTATTATTTCATTTTTTACATTGAGAATTACTCTTTACTTGAAAGTTAATAACCATGGTAAAAGAAGGAAGTTGATTTTCCTCATATGGATGGTCAGCCATCTTGCAGCAATTATTGAAAAACATTCAATCATTTAATCCTGAAACAGCTTAGTGATGGTGGTTATGAAACACACAGTAGAGAATATATTGAGGGGGGAGAGATAAAGCAGGCAGAAATGACTGGGACTTTGGAGCATTGCCTGGTAAGAGGAGACTGAAGTCTTGAAGAGATTTTAAGCCATGTTTCAGAAATGATACAGCAAAATATAACATTTATAAAAACAGTGTTATAAAAATGATGCATTCCTATAGCCCTAGCTACACAAGAGGGTGAGGCAGAAAGGAGGTTTGAGACCAGCTTGGATAAAATAAAAATATGTCTCAAAATAAATAAGTAAAAATGAAAGTCATCTCTCTCTCTCTCTCTCTCTCTCTCTCTCTCTCTCTCTCTCTCTCTCCCCCCTGAGTTCCGCAGTCTTTCTCATTCTGGGAAACTGCTTACTGCAGAGAACCCTCTTACCCCATGTGACAGAGCTACCGCTCTCACCTCACCAGTTTGACCCTTAAGTACCATTTATAGTACATAGTTCCTCCTAAATTTACATAGTCACTGAAGTGTCCAACTCTGTTAGTCAGTTGCCTTTAGACAAAGAAGAAAAAAATAGATCTCCTATCTCTATTTCAAATGGTAATTCCAACTTGGAACCAGGTGCCCAGACTAAACCCATAGAGACTTAAAGTGTACATTTAAAGGAGGTGGGAACAAGAAAACTTAAGAACAACATTCCTGGTTTGTAACATTGGTAAGTGGCTCACTTAGTTTTTAAAAAGATTGCATTCAATTTCTCAAAAGGAAAAGAAGTGGTGGGCAAATTTTGAATTTTTCATTTTGTGTCAGGGGAGTTTTTAGATTAGCAATTACCTTACAATTTCTCCCTATTTTATTCCTTCCAAATTCCAAGTCTTTGTTTCATAAATGGTTACTTGAACCTTTATGCCCATTGACCCATCAGAACAAAGCACTTGTGAGCTGACTTGACCAAATTTTAATTAAGCTATTCTTCTCCCCACAAGAACCTGAATTTTGCCCCATAGTGAGCCAGTATTGACGAGTAGACACAGAAATACTCCCTGAATCTTGCTTAGTTCTCCCTATAAAAGAAACACCTTTTTTGCTGCCCTATCAGATGTTTGGTTAGATTATTCTTCCTATGTCAGTAGTCCTCTTTCCTTTCTTAATATAATCTTTTTGAATAAAATCTTTCCTTAGCTAAGACCAGATTTGTTTTTATTTAACAATACTATACCTTACCTATTACCATAGCTTTATAATAAATTTCGATGAGTGGTAGAGTAAATTTTTCCACTTTGCTAACACCACAAAACAAAATTCTTATTTTGGTGACTATTTACTGAGGGAGTAATCCAAAGTGTATAAAGTAGCTCTTACGTTTAACTTTATTCAAAACAAGTAAAACTGCCTTGCATAAATTGTGACTTCTTTACCAAGATGAAATATTAAGTGGCCTTTAAAACAAATGGCCAGATTAGATAAAGATGATTCAAGGACAATAGCCCATTCCAATCAAGAAATTTTTGAATGATAAAATTTAAAAGAAAATGGGTAGAACATATATCTAAAACAATATTAAAAGGACAAAATTCAGCACTCAGAAAAGTAGAAATACTGAAAAGTCATGAAAAAACAAAAGCAGATGAGATAGACTTGATAGAAATACAAGGAGAGGGAACACCAAAGCCCAAATTATATGCAGGAGAAAACTGATATAAAGATATAAGTGACTGCAAAGTAGTTGTAGAGATATGACAATCTTGAATTAATAAATTCAACCCAAGATAATATCAGGAAAACTCTGTCAACAGAGTAATTGACTGAAGAAATACTATAAACCGTTTGGGTAAGTATAAATTCTGTTTCATATTTCTATTAGTGAACTATTGGAAGTGATATTACACTCTGACTTTACAACTCGATTATGGTAGGAATTCTGGCACAAGGGACTCTTAAGGAACTTGAGATGAGAGAAGCAAAATATATTTATGATTCATCCACTCCTGTCCCCCACCAAAGGCATGGAGGACTCTCAGAACCAGGGGCTAAAAAACCTGTAAATTCCACCCACCCCCCAGTCAACACCTTTTCCCAAACAAGAAAAGGAAATCTTCTTCCATAATTAGCCTTTGCTATAATCAGACAAAACATTGTTAAATTATGGTTGAAAAAAATACAGAAAGCATAAGTTCTGAAATTTGCTGGTGTCTTCTTTTACTTACCTTGTAGGTATACTATATTCTTTCACGGTGTCCTTTTGGCATAGAAGAAGGGAAGAAAAAGTTTGGTATTGAAAGACTGCTAAATTCTAACACTTACTCATCTGCCTACCCACTCCATGATGTAAGTATAGATTTGACTTTTAAATATAGAACTTGCTTCCTCTCTCACATGCAGTGATTGCCATCTTGGGGGATAGAATTGTTCATTTGCTTTCTTTTTTCTTACAAGTTTCTTAATTCTGTCTCATGATGAGAAAATTTCCAGATTCCCTGGTTCTGTGTTGAGAATACCAGCTATGCTACAAACACGTAGTTATGCTTCTTGACATTGCGGTATCAAATGGAAATTCATTTTTAAAAATTATTATATTTCCACATGAGTTGTCTTTAGAATTCATTTTGGAACTAGCAGTCACAATTAATGGTGGAGTGGGTGAATTCAAGTATAATATATTTGATATATTGTAAGAACCTTTGTAAATACCACAATGTACCCCACCCAACACAATAATTAAAAAAAACCTTAAAAATAGAAAATTTAGTACATAATATTTGGAAATTTCTATTTGACCCAGTCAGTTACCTCTGTTAGATACCATTGCAGCACAATCATAAGTGCAAACTCACAGACCAAGAATTTTCTAAAAATAAAGCCTGGATACAAAGGTACTGCAAGTTGAAAGGTTTAGCCATAAGAAGCATTGCAGTAACAACCAAATTGAGAATCATTTTTCTTTTATGAGACAGGGTCTCACACAGGCTGGAGTGGAGCTCACTATGTACACAAGGCTGGCCTCAAACTCAATCCTTCTGCCTCAGCTTCATGAGTGCTGGGATTGTAAGCATGTGTACCATGCCCTGCTGAAAAGAACTTTTCTTTGAGACTGATAAAGCAGTGCATGAAAATATTGAGCCTTGTAAGTTCCTCAAAGAAACAACCCATTGAATTAAGGCTGAAAATGGCTTGGAAACCAAGAGTCTGACTAGATAATTTCACTTTGCTTTTTGTCTTCTCATAAATTCAGGTATTAGTTTTTCCCTTGCATGCTTTACAGAATCATTTTTTACAATACCAATTAAGCTGCTAAAGAAAAAAAGTTTTTATTTAAAAAACCTATAATATTGTTGAGAAATTTCATTCATCAAGCGTCAACCCATTTAGCTATAGAACAAAAAATTTAGAATACATGTGGTGTAAAATTTTACATTGTACCATATAAATTTTCACCATGTGTTAAATTTTAAACTGGATGTTCATTCAGTATTTTCCTTAGCAGTTCATATGTTCACACAGATTATAAAAGAGGAAATGTTAAACAGCTACTGCATACATTGGTTTGCTCACTCATGATATTACTGAAGCTAGTCATTATCTTACAATGGGTGAACAACTTGTGCATGAAACAATACTGAGGATCCTAAGTGATAACATTTGTTGCAGTATTTTAAGTTTGTCAGGAAATGGATCTCAGGGATGATCAATGAGTATATACTCTTCTATATACTTGGATCTATCACATATCTTTGCTTAGGGTTTAATTTTTTTACCTATGAAATGAAAATGTTGGTCTGTTTCTAAAGTCCTAGACAGCTATGTAGTGATATGTGTCCCTGAGCTGTAGATAATTTATGAAGACTTAAATTACAAAGGAAATTTGAATACAACTAAAGGCACAAAGCTCGACCATTGTTTTTTTTTTTTTTTAGATAACTGTATGAAGACTTAGTAAATCTGGTTTTTCTTTTTTCTTTTTCACATCAATGGAAATATGAAATATATATCTAAAAGGAAAAGAGAAGTAGACTGTCAACTAACCTATAGAAAACGTTTACTCCACACTTGTCTTTTGCTTTGTCCTTTATGACTCTCTTCTTGACTATTTGTAGGGCCAATATTGGAAGCCATCAGATAATCGTCTCAATGAAAGATATACCCTTTACCAGAATTGGGCTCGGTTTTCCTACTTTTACAAGGAGCAGCCTTTAGATTTGATTAAGTAAGTTTCTTACATGAGACCTCACCAATTAAAACGTGATGATGTGATCTTCATTTACAATAATATCGCATATTTTTATTGTCATTTTCACACATTACATTTTGCAGCTTCTCTGTTTCATATCTACATTATCTATTAATAATTCATTTGGGAGCAGAATGTTGTTGTCAAAATATAAAATAGACAAAAGGCCTTAGAATTTGGCTAGGCTGGACTCAAATCCAAATTCTACCTCTTACAAGCTACATAAACTTGGTCAAGGTGATTAACAATTATGAGGATCACCTGTAAAATGGAAATAATAGTACATTCCTTTTGAGGTTACTTCATAATTCAATGAGATATGTATATTTTTTAGAATAGAGCCTAACACAATGCTCCGTGCATATTAGTTTTGTTCTTCTTGTAGAGTAGAAGCATTTAGAAGACAGGAAAAAGTGGTATATGAATATTTGCATGTTGAACTTGGAGAGCAGTAAAGTCATTTGTTCTATAATCTCAATTCTTTAGACAGTTTCACTAGTTAAACAAGAAGACCATAGCTAAAACAGCTGGATTTGAAGGATGGCAATATTACATGGAAACAGGACATTAGGAGAATCCAGCTACATTTCAATAAAGGATCAATCAGATCCTTGCTATGAGAGGCATGTTTTTATCTGATTTATGCTGATGCTTCCATGCTGGCACAGCATGGCAGCACTCATTCTGCGAGACTTATTTTGATGCATCCACCAGACTAATTGGAATGTTACCTCAACAGTTTAAGGCAAATAGGAGACATTTTACAAAGCAGACAAAAAGCACTTAGCCTGTTTACAAATACTATCTCTGTGAATCTTTCTGTAAACTCTTTCATGGATGGCTATGTTGTTTTTAATACATTCCTTTAACTTTTTGAGTTACATAAGTAGCATATTTATCAAAAAAAACAAACCAAAAAAAAAAAAAAGAAATCAAGAAATAGCCAGGTGCCAGTGGCAGAGATCAAGAGGATTGTTGTTCAAAGTCAACCCAGGCAAATAGTTCACAAGACTCTATCTTGAATGTATACTGATGTTCGTCACAGCACTATTCATAATTGCCAAGCTTTGGAGACAACCTCAGTGCTCTACAGCTGGTGAATGAATCAAGAAAATGTGGAATATATACACAATGGAGTTTTAGTCAGCCATATGAATAATGACATGTGTTTGAAGGTAAATGGATACAGTTGGAGGACATAATGTTAAGTGAAGTAAGCCAGGCTCAGAAAGACAAAGTCCACATGATTTTTCTCATACATGGAAGATAGATCCAAAAATAAACATGTATACAAAAACAAGCATGATAATATGCAAGCTCATGTATAGGATATGTTTGTAATAGTGAAACCACTCTATGGAACTTGAGGAAAGAGGGAAAGAAAAAGAGAATGATAGAGCATCTGTAATAATTGTAAAACATAACATCTGTGAAGGTAGAGGAAATAAGGATGTGTATTGAAAGCTGTTGAAAAATGGGGAGTTGGGAGGTAAAGGGGTAAGGGAGAGTAATGGAAGGGATTAAATGAACCAAAATAAAGGATACTCTCAGTGGAGACACATTGAGAAATCCCTTTGAACATCACCTTAAATATTGATAATGAGACAGGACTGTAAAATAGGTGCAGTTGGTGGGGGTACCAGTGGGAGGAGGGAGAATGAATGAAGGAGATTAGGTGAGGGTGTATGGTTGATGAACTTCTCATATACCTATATGAAATAGAACAAAGAAACTGCTTGCAATTGCTTCAAGTGTAGTGGGGAGAGTATTGAGGGGGAGGGACAATGGGGGCAATATAACTAATGCAAACCTAATCAGAACTGTCACTATGAATCCTACCCCCATATAATAAATATATCCGAAAAAAAATTATAGGAAAGAAAATAACCCAACACAAGAAAAGGATGGTAGTGTGGCTCAAGTGGTACAGTGTCTGCCTAGCAATTTTGTGGCCCTGAGTTCAAACCCCAGCATAGACTAAAAAAGAAAAAAGTCAAGGAAAAAAAATGTGCAAAGTTTTAGTTTAGTTTCTATTTTCATTGTATTCCCCTGGAGTAACTACTCTTGATTTAATATTACCCATCCAGTTCTATTTTTATGTTCTTGTATAAGAAAAGGTATACACAAACACATTTCCCCTGGGCTTACTATCTATACATCAACATGATCCATTGATTGGTAAAGTAACTGTTACAATCTTTTGCATCTTTATCTCTTTTGTGTGCTGAGAATTTCTTTTTTCTCATTATATACTATATTATTGGTATTCTTTTCTATAAATTTACAAACTGTCTTACATTTTAATGGAATGAAGACAGCCTTCTGAGTTTTTGTAATTCCTTTGTCAGCTTTTCTTCAGACTATTCCACACTTTTCACTGATGCCATCAGTGTCTTTAATATGTATGGAAGTTTTGCTGTTGGAAAATATTTTGGTAGGATATTTTTAAAGAAAAAAGTCAGAATGAAAGCTTGCATATTTTCCATTATTCAAAATATACTGAGAGCATTTATGTGCCTAACATTACTCAACTGTCTATGATTGGGCTATGCTATACTTTTCCCCAGAGGTTGGTTTCTTAATCCTAAATATACACAGACACATGTTGAAAATCTGCATCTGAAAATCTCTTGCTAATGCTTGCTAGTTTTCTTTTGCAACCAAGAGGAAGCTCAAATATTTCATCTGGAAGGAAGTGTGTTGCTTAAATTCAATACTTAAAATTTTATCATCCTATTGTATAGTTACTTTCCATATGTACCAATTTATAATGTATTTCAGCTTCAACAATGGAATAATTTTTTAAATAATTTCAATTTCCATCAAAAAATTAATGTAAAGAATTGATGACTAAGTGTAAAGTTTTTAACTAAGTAAGTAAAAAGGCAAAAGAAAAACCCTGTATTACTACAGAGGTATCAATTTCATAAAAGAGCCATACTCCTTAGAGTTTCTTTGCAGTAATTATATAACATCTTTGTTCTTAAGAGTGTATGATGAGATTACCAGGCACCGTGGGTCATGTCTATAATTCCAGATACTGGAGAGGTAGAGATGGGAGGATTATTATTCAAAGATAGCCTAGTCAAAAAATAATAATAATAAAACAGGTATAGTGGTTCATAACTGTAATTCCAGCTACAAGGGAGCCAGAGGGAGGAGGATCATGGTCTGAGGCCAACTCTAGGTAAAAGAGTGAGGCCACACCTAAAAAATAAATAAAGTGAAAAGGACTGAGGTATGACTCCAGTGTTAGAGCACTTGCCTAGAAAATGGAAGGCCCTGAGTTCAAATCCCAGTACTGCCAATAAAAAAAGAATAAACAATGGGATAAATGACCACAAGACGTTCAACTTATTTTCAGAAGGCTCAGACAAACACACACATACACACACACACAGAGAAAATGCAGTTGGAGCAAAATGCTTATAATAGAAGAATGATGGGGTATAAGCATGATTTGAATTATTCTTGAATCTTGTCTGTACTTTTGAAATTATTTCCAAATTAAAGCTTCAAGAAAATGGGCATCCATGATCAATTAATTCTCAACAAAGCCTCCTGATAATCAATGAGTAAAGTGTAGTTTTTCCAGTAAATGATACTAGGGCAAATGGATATCCATATGCAAAGTATATATCTTAACCCTTTCTAGCAAATTCAATCAACTTGAAGCAGATCAGAGAGCTATGTTTAAGAGCTGGGACTACAAACTTCCAAAAGAATACATAAGAGAAGCTCTGTGTGAACTTGAGTTAGGCATAAACTCAGATGAGATTTAAAAACACAATAAAAATGCATGTTTTGAAACTTGTAATCTTATTATGAACATGTATTTTTCTTTATTAGCACTGATTTTTTTGTAATATAAGCATGCCTTAATCATTCAAAAATTATCTGTCTACTTATTTATTTGTCCACATATATGCATGCTACTGAACTGACTACTGAATATGACTGATTTCTTCAGATGATTTCTGTTATCTATAGAATTAAAAAGATAAGGTCTTCAAAAACTATTTTGCCGTAAGAGCCAAAATATATTTAAATATTCACACTCTCACTGAAGGGAAAATATACAGATTCAATATGTTTAATTCTCCTGAATCTAAAAGAACTAGATTATCACATAAAAACAATACTAAAATGTTATTTTTAAAAGCAACGTCAAATTTTAAAATCAAAATTGTGAGAACAGCTACATTAACACATTCACTATTTTCTCCAATAGCTACATCTTGACTAGCATCTCTATAGAATAGGTATCCCTGATAAAATGATATCATAAAATAGAGTACAAAGACTAAATTGTTAGAAAAGAAAAATTCCTACTAGACTGAATAAAAAATAAGGCAGTGAACATTAATTTTAAACTTGTATTAAGAGCCAGACACAAAGGGTCACATAGACTCTGTCTTAAAAAAAGAATGGAAACCCTCCACAAACCTATACTGAGACTAACTCTATCACTAAAGTTCTGTCAAGGGTAATGAAGAGCCATAGGTGAAAAAGAATAATTTTAAATAAAATCTAGTTTGGTTTTATTTCTAATAAAGAAGTAGAAATTGATAATTCATACTCAAGTTAACTAGTCAGATATATGGGATACAAAAAGAAACAAGGGAAATAAAATGCAAATTTATAATAAGATTGCTTTCTTAATACACAAACATTAAATTACATTAAAGAAAAATTCACTTTTGAGCCAGTGCTTGCAGAGTTAACAAGGAATGAATTTGAGTAGGATAAATCCTGTGCAAAACACTCCAAACAACATGTGTGGAAACTGTATGTTTACCATTGTAAATATGCATGACACTACAGAAAAATGTTAGTCAATAAAGAAAACATTTATTAGCAGTGAATATAGCCCAAGCCAACTATGCTAATGGTTAGGTGATTATTGGTAAACTTTAAGACCAATTACAGCAATCAGCTTTAGGATGATAAACAAATTGTTATATCATCCTAAGAAT